ATAGATAAAGATAAAATAAACCTGGTTTACTTTTTATAAGATTTATTCACTACAAACTTGTTTCGCACGACAAGCAATGCTTGCCACACTCATCAGGTGAATTTAAATGTCGCGCTATGTTGTTTGCCAAGGTTATATATACTATATACATGTTTGATATTATATATTATATAGTATATATATAATACTTGAACATTCCGTTTACCTCAAACCCATAGACAAGTTACCACCCGAGCAGACAAGCGGAGTCATTTACAAAATCTGTTGCTGCGATTGTGACTTTGCATATTACGGCCAAACAGACAGAGCATTAATTTAAATTAAAAACTAGAATAAAAGAACACGAACGAGCTGTTTCGCAATTTGATCAATATTCAAAAATCGCTAAGCACGCTGAACAATACGATCACCGAATTGACTTCAGTAATGCCACCATTGTCAACAAAACAAAAAACTACCGCGAACGTCTGTTCTTAGATGCTTGGTATTCCCTCAAGGATCATAACGCAGGAAACGACCATATCGAAATACCGGATGTGTATAAAACACTTATCTGCTAATTAACTCTGAACCTATATATATTGTTCAGTTTTGAACCTTGTTAAATTTTTAACTGACGAAGACCTAAGTTACTGGTCGAAACGTCTTAACATCTTTTTAAATAAACGTAGTTTTTAACGTTTTTATCAAACCAGCGTCAACCTTTTTACATCTTAATAATATGTCTAATCCTGGTTACAATTTTAACATTTTTAATCTTATTAATACTCGTTATGGTTCAGAAGTTATGAAATTAGCCAGAAATTTGGAAAAGAAATCCCTCAACATTGCGAAGCAAAAACAACACCTCACATTCAACCATGAACTTAAAAGAGCAAAGATATTACCGCCGAGCCTCCGTTTCAATCCTCCCATCAACTGCTATGAAGGCCGTAAGATCGCCGCTAAGGCCGGTTGGGGTTTCGTGAGATTACGTATAAATCATGTACACCAACGCATCAAACAATTAGAGCATATTCGTCTGGAATGCAAGCAAAAGCTTTTATCAATTTTGCCACAAGAATATTAGGATATGTTAGACAATGTCGTAAAACACAACGCTGAGAGAGTGAAGGAAACTATTCAGACCAGACACGTCCGTAAACTCGCTAAGTTAGGCGCCACAAACAGTAGCGATTACATTGACAAGGACAGATGGGTAATTAATCTATCCGGCCATTAACTAACACCTGCCGAGACAAGAGTCCTACGATATGGTTTCAATTTTGCACCAGCACCGAAAGCAATCCCTGTACCAAAGATCGTAGCAAGTATAGAATCAGGAATTCGAGACCTCCCTGAAAGTAACAAAGAATCCATACGCGCTACTGTCACAAACATCCTGAAATACAGCAAACCACCAACAACTTGCAACCTTTCACGCCAACAAAAGCTCGCTTTGAAAAACCTGCGCGAGGATAATAGCATTACAATTATCCCTGCTGATAAAGGAAAAGCCATCGTCGTCATGGATAACGACGACTACACCAGTAAAATCAGCGACTTATTGAGTGATAAAGAAACATACTTAAAAATCACAGATAGACGAAGAAAACCAGTTTCCAAAGTAGAAAAAGATCTGATCAAGCTACTCACCAACATTAAGGAGACACCCTCAGAACACGATCCTGATAAATCTCAAATACATAAACACCTTTACCTCCATCTCCATTCCACCGATGGCACACCAGCAAGATTCTACGGGCTGCCTAAAATTCACAAACCTGCGGTACCACTTCGCCCCATTACAAGTTGCATTAATTTCCCAACATACAACCTCTCGAAACACTTGGTCAAAATATTATCCCCACTCGTCAGAGGGAAATATACAGTTAGGAACAGTTTTGCCTTTTCTCAACAAATTAGACATCGACAAATTGCAGACGATGAAGTCATGGTATCATTCGATGTTGTATCCTTGTTCACATCTATCCCCACCGAACTAGCCCTACAGGTGATCAAACAGAGGTTACAACAAGACATATCGTTGACACAAAGAACAGACATATCCATTACTAACATCACAAAATTATTAGAGTTCGTCCTTCAGAACAGTTTCTTCACATATAAGAATGAATATTATCAACAGATCTCAAGTTGTGCTATGGGGTCACCCATTAGCGCTACAATTGCTGACATAGTTATGGAACATGTAGAAGAAACTGCAATTTCTATACAGCACCACATCCCCCGCGTTGGTGGTTCAGATATGTCGACGATAGCCATTCCTGTCTGAAGAAAACCCAGGTGAACAAATTTCAAAACCACCTCAATTCCATTAACTCATATTTACAATTCACCATCGAACTGGAAGAAAACCGACGTCTCCCATTCCTGGATACCGTGACTATCCGCTCTAACGGCAAAGTAGAAGTCGATATATACAGAAAACCTACTCACACAGACAAATACCTACACTACGACTCACACCATCCCAAACAACACAAGCTGTCGGTCCTAAATACTCTCCTCGACAGAGCTGAGAAAATTCCCTCGTCCAACAGAGGAAAACGCAGAGAAAGAAGACATGTATTTAAAGTCTTGAGAGACAACGGTTACCCACTTAAGTTTATAAAGTCTTACGACATCAAGAGGAAACGCAGTCATACTGATAACACCAACGGTAATTTGCATACCACTGATGTCAACAACAACAGGACAAACCCCGCTGATTGTGTCGCTCCTAGCTTTGTAGTCTTACCGTATGTTAAAGGCGTTACAGAAAAGATCTCCCGAGTATTAAGGACAGAAAATGTCAAAGTGTGCTACAAACCTACCAGTACCCTTTCCCACCAATTCCCCAAACCCAAAGACAAGTTACCACCCGAGCAGACAAGCGGAGTCATTTACAAAATCTGTTGCTGCGATTGTGACTTTGCATATTACGGCCAAACAGATAGAGCATTAAAAACTAGAATAAAAGAACACGAACGAGCTGTTTCGCAATTTGATTCATATTCAAAAATCGCTAAGCATGCTGAACAATATGATCACCGAATTGACTTCAGTAATGCCACCATTGTCAACAAAACAAAAAACTACCGCGAACGTCTGTTCTTAGAGGCTTGGTATTCCCTCAAGGATCATAACGCAGGAAACGACCATATCGAAATACCGGATGTGTATAAAACACTTATCTGCTAATTAACTCTGAACCTATATATATTGTTCAGTTTTGAACCTTGTTAAATTTTTAACTGACGAAGACCTAAGTTACTGGTCGAAACGTCTTAACATCTTTTTAAATAAACGTAGTTTTTAACGTTTTTATCAAACCAGCGTCAACCTTTCTACATCTTAATAATATGTCTAATCCTGGTTACAATTTTAACATTTTTAATATATATATATATATATATATATATATATATATATATATATATATATATATATATATATATATATATATATATAACCACTAAAAGTGAATGTACTGTGATAGTTCCTTTGATGCTAGACTGCAGATTACTGTAAGTTTCTGTATCGTGTCCGAATAAGTTCCGAATACCTACAGTATATATCTAATGTCTATCTCAATCATTAATATAGTAATAAAACTTTAACATACTGTATAGTCTTTCGTCCAGTGGGGCTTTTGTTTTGCTTGTTGTGGTCTTGCTTGTACCTCTGCTTCTCCCTTGTTGTCTTTACTGTTATTTTTGTTGACTTCACTTGTCGTGGGGCGTATATGAACTCGGTTTCTTCTATATACACCATTCTTTCTTTCAATGATATACGATCGTTCACTGTGTTTGACACGTACTTTTCCTCTTCTCGAGTCATACTTCTTTCCTTCTGTGTGTTGGTAGTACACCGGCTAACCAGGTGACAGTTGTTTCAGGTCTCGAGCGCCTTTGTCATAACTTTGCTTAACCAGAAGGCGGTGTTTGGCTCCCTTCTGTGTTGCATTTCTCGCCCGTTCTGATTTTGTGTTCGATATGGCTGGTAGGAATGATTGTGTTGCTCGACCAAACATCATTTTAGCTGGACTTTGTCCAGTACCCTGGCGTGGCGTGTTTCTCAGTTCGGGTAAAGCCTCATATTGATCAGCGTTGTCCCGCAGTGACTTCTTCATCATTAGCTTTATAGTTTTAACCGCAGCTTCCGCTTTTCCATTCGATTGGTGATGGAGGGGTGACGATGTTACATGCTTAATTCCCCAGTGTTTGGTGAAGGTCTTGAACTCGCAGGAAATAAATTGTGAACCACGTAATGCACAATCAGTTACCAATTCACTTGGTATGCCATATCTTGCAAAATGTCCTTTGAGTTTGATGATTATCTGTTTACTTGTGGCAGTGCTTAGGTGGTCAACTTCTATGAAACACGAGAAACAGTCAACCGTGGCTAGATAATCTCTTCCCTTGATCTCGAAAAGGTCAATTCCAACCTTATTCCAAGGTACTTGTCCTTCCTCGTACTGTTTTAATGGCTCTTTCTGGTTTT